CCTCCCCTTCCCTCCCCTTCCCTCCCCTTCCCTTCCCTTCCCTTCCCTTCCCTTCCCTTCCCTTCCTCCCTTCCCTTCCTTTCCTTCCAGGACTTTGCCCGTCACTACCTGAAGAAGAGATACCAGGAAGATCCAGGTTACGAACTGGAGACCAAGGCTGGGCTTCTCCCCCCAGGTGGGCACTGTCAAAGGAAAGAGGAAACGGGATTGCTGGACTTCACTTTGAAATGCTCATGGGCAGTGTTCCCTCTAAGCTGAGTTGGTGTAAGCTAGCTGAGTTTTTTAACCTCCGGCTCACACATTTTTGTCTCAGCTCGGGAAGGATGGCTCCAGAGCAAATTAATTTATGCAACAGCCAAATCGCTCGCTCACAACTTTAAGGCCAATAGCTCACAGAGTAGAATTTCTGCTTGCAAGACTCCACAGCTTAGAGGGAACATTGCTCGTGGGGGAGGGGGCTGATGTGCATGTTACCTTTATACAGAAGCCTCCCTCTGTTTGCTTTGGACTCTAGAGAAATATCCAAGGTCTTTCTTCCACAAGTGGCCATTGTTGGCTTTCCCTTTGCTAAATGTACACTACTGCTGTGTACTAGTCGGTCCACAGCGACAGCACCTAGCTTTTTCTTTTGTATTTGTTTAGATTTTACCCTGTTGTTTTTTTTAACCATAGAAACAGGCCCCAAAGTTGACTTGCAGTGATTCTAAGTTACAAATAGATTATTTGAAAGATGCAAGTGTCTTCTTTTTTTTAAGGGGGGGGGGGAGGATCAGTGAAAACAAATTTAAACACTGACGAATCAGATCCCAGAAACAGACAATCAGTAATTGCCAAATCAGTCCAGCAGCAATTATTAAATAAAACTAAGCTGGCCGGCTAATGCAAATACCTTTTGCAGCAACAGTGCTTCGTGGGATACTGTTGATCACCCTGCAGAGCACAGTGGTGGTGGAAAGGGCTCTCAAGTGGCAGTCAACGTACGGTGGCCCTGTAGGATTTTCAGGGGAAGAGACGAACAGAGGTGGTTTGCTGTCGCCTGCCTCTGTGTAGTGACCCTGGACGTCCCTGGTGGTTTCCCATCCAAGTCCTAGCCAGAGCTGACCTTGCTTCGCTTCCAAGATCTGACGAGATTGGGCAGGGCACTCAGGTCATTCAGGTCAGGGCACAGTAGAGGGAAAGAACGGGTTTGGGCAGGGTGAACAAGGAAGCAGGCAGGGCAGGCACCCAGTTAATATTTCTTAATTTGTTTTTATTCCGGAGCAAGCAAGTTGTACCTTGGTGGCTAGTCTGTGCATCGGACTGGCAGCCAAGGAGAGGCTGTAGTTAAGGGGAGGGGTAGTGTCTCTAAAGCCCGCCCTGATCGCAAGAGCCTTTCTCTTCCCTTGTGTCTCCAGAGGAGGGCACCACTGCTGTGCCACAGAGCTCCCAAGAAGAACCATTACACGTGAGCAACGGAAAGATCTCGGCTCCGGAACAGGTAGAAGTCAAGTGTTCCTCTGAAGTGATGAACGGGACAAATGGGGCAGGCCTGGCCACACCCACGCCATCGGTGATTGGTGTGCTCCAGAAGGTAGGAGTTGAGGGCGGCAACTTGGGATGTGGCGGGGAGCTTGATGCCTTATGGGAGGAGAAGCGGCCTCCTGGGAAGCACAGTCAGTTTTTCCTGCTGCGGCTGCTTATCTCTGTTACGACAGGACAGTGAGGTGTGGTTCAGCCGACAGTAGAGAGGAGTCTTCTGTGGTTCTGAGGCTTAGGTTGTTTTTCACTGCGGTACACCTCTGGGTGCTCAGCTTGTGTTTCCTGTCGGTCTTGGTCTGCTGTTCACAGTGCTGGCCTTGACACTGGTTTAACTGCCTCCCTTTCCGCCACATAACTCTGAAGACATGTGCATGCTGCTCATTATTAATTTATTTAATTAATTTATTTATTTATATCCCGCCCTGTTCCACGAGTGGGCTCAGGGCGGCTTATCACATAAGATTCATAAAACAGTGAAAGCGATAAAAGCAATAAAGCAACAGATCCGGGCTCTTTTTGTAGCAGGTACTCATTTGCATATTAAGTGACACACCCCTAATGTAGCCAATCCTCCAAGAGCTTACAGGAGCCCCTGTAAGAAGAGCTCTGTAAGCTCTTGGAGGATTGGCTACATTAGCGGGTGTGGCCTAATATGCAAAGGAGTTCCTGCTACAAAAAGAGCCCTGCGATAACAGGAAGTACCCATGCCTCATTTCAAGTGATTAAGAAGCTCCAGGCCCCAAGTAATGTTCTCTAAAGTCTGGGAAGGGGCCATGAACAGGGGAGGCCAGAATGGTGGTACGCCTGCCGCCTCAACCGGAAGCCTGGCGGAACAGCTCCACTTGACAGGCCCTGCGAAACTGTAATAGATCCCGCAGGGCCATGGTCTTGGGTGGGAGCATGCTCCACCAGGTTTGGGCAAGAGCCAAAAGAGTAGTCTGGAAAGGCGGAAGACCACTGAGATGATAGATGCTGCCTGTACTCCAGCGTCCAGGCAATACTCAGTGCATTTCCCTATAACCAGGAAGTATGATCGTGGAGAAAAGAAAAAATAGTATCACCCAGCCACAACTTCCTGCACATGTTTGAAAGCGGCCCCAACAGAGACGAGGAGGTTGCTTTGCTCCCACGTTTGTTAGTTGCCTCCAAAACAGGATCCATTCTCAAAACTGCATTGTGCCCAAGGGACCCCTTGTAGCAGGTTTGATAGCTTCCAGACCTGGGCTGGATATAACTCAGCTGAAACTTAGAACAGATCCTTTCCTGGGTTGGGGAAGGTGGGTCTGGAATGGAGCATTGGGGCTCCATATGGGTGTCTCAGACTTTGTCAGCCTCTCTCTGGGCATAAACTGTTTCATGCAGCAGGCATGGGCTTATATAATTGGATGGCTCCTCCATAGAAAAATGACTCTCAGAAAAATACCGGTGTGCTGCAGTGGTCAGAAGGTTGCACTAGGATCGGGGAGAACCAAGTTTGTATCCCTGCTCTGCCATGGGAACTCACTTGGGTGGGTTTGGGACTGTCACAACCTCTCTCTTTGTCTCTCAACCTAACTCTGCTTCACAGGGCGGTCAAGGTAAAGTGCAGGAGAGAAGAAAGATGTTAAGTCTCCACTGGAAAGAAAAGCGGGGTTTACGTTTTTTAAAAAATGTCATGGAGATGTCTAGGCGAGAGAACCCTTTTTTAAAATACCCCACTTCTCTGCCCTATAGGGACTCCAAGCAACTTAAATTTTTTAAAAATGTTACAATAGAAACAAACAGGAGAATGCGGGGGGCGGAACTTGTGAGTGCAAAGCAGATCCCCCATCCGCTCTCTCTCCCAGCAGATCTTGTGCCCAACTCTAGGCTATGACAAGAGTTCTCTGGCTCTTTTCCATTGGCTGAAGCCTCTGGCAAACCCAGACCTAAAGTACCAGTGAGCAGAGGAGAACAAGTTCAGGCACATCTCATTCAGCTGCTGCAAGCTTACCTAGCAGGGCTTTCCCCACCTCTGTCTTTGCTCTTCTACTTGATTTGCTGGTATTCTGTGCGGGGGGAGCCATAGGGAAGAACCCCTGGGCCAAACTATATAAGATAGACGCTCCCAGGTTCACTCCTGGGACGCGCTGCCATTTAAAAAAGTGACCGTGATGCTTTGGGGAAGGGGGGGCGGGGGGGGGGGGGGGGGCTGATTTTGGGCAGGACCACTGTAGAGTGAGAGGGGGAGGTCCTATCTTTCTTCCTCATGCCACTTTTCCAACTCAAAATGGCGCAAGAAGTGCCTGTGGCACCATTGAAAGGAGTTCCCAGCTGGGAGCTCACTTTTTTTTTTAAGTGGTGCTGCGTCTCTGGGGTGAACCCCTGGGACTTCTGCCTCATCTGTTGGCCCTCTCTCTGCCACCTGAAGTGGTGCCGCCTGGACTCTGGTGGACGGCCTCAGTGACAGCCAGGACTAACTCTGCCTTCTCTTTTAGATCTGGCAGCTGGCCCTGTGTATTGTCTTGGTCTTCTCTGTCACCCTGTCCGTGTTTCCTGCCATTACTTCCAGTGTGACCAGCGTGTCTGACAACAAAACCTGGAGTGAGTGATGGACACCTTTTGAGAGGGGAGGGATGGAGTTAACTCCTTTGCATATTAGGCCATACACCCCTAATGTAGCCAATCCTCCAAGAGCTTACAGAGCTCTTCTTACAGGAGCTACTGTAAGCTCTTGGAGGATTGGCTACATTAGGGGTGTGTCGCTTAATATGCAAATGAGTACCTGCTACAAAAAGAGCCCTGGATGGAGAAGGCTGGTCTAGAGAGCTGCATCCCCATCTCTGCAGGCGAATGGGGTGGAACGGGGGGTAGGGTGGGGGGTAACCACCAAGAATTCTAGGTGTTCCTTTCCCCTGAGGCATGTGACATTTTCCTCTTGCAAGGAAGAGCCTTGGAAAACTTGCTCTCCTTTCTTTCTTTCCACATTTCTATACTGCTTTTCCACTGTCATAAAGCAGTGTGGAGATAACAAACATGGATGCCACTACAAGTAAGGAGATAATTATAGTCACAGCAGAAAATGGCAGAACTGAAAACCATAAGAAAACTCAGCAGTAACCTCACAGAGCTTGAGGGTCTGTTCATTTTAGCTCTTCATGGTGGGACACAAAGGTCTTAACTGAGGACCAAGTCTATGATAAAATGGGTGTGAGGAAAAAACAGAACTCTCCTCCTCCTTATCTCACTGTTTTTGCCTCTGTCAAGGCTGTCCCTGCCTTGGTGTGGTAAGGTAACCAAGCTGTAACTGGGTTTGATCTCAGTAACTCCCCAACTAAGACACGCACAATAAAGCAACAGAAGATTTTTATTGAAGAAGTTCAATAAAAGGTATAAAAGTTCAATAAAAGGTGTAAAAATAAGGTATATAGTTCAGTGGCAGTAAACATGCACAGAAAAACAAGAAAGCTAACTGTGGCCCCGGTCACACAGGCTGGATATCGCGGGGGGGAGGCGTGGCTGTTTGCCCCGCAGCGACATAACGCGCGACTGCGCAATCAGGCGTCCTCTCGCAGTCCCGTCAAGGTCCCATGGTTAGGGGGGAGGTGCCGATCACATGACGCACCAAAGAAGTGGCGCAGCACAGCAAACGGGGTTGTGTGTGGGTTTTTTAACCTGAAGTATGCGCATGCCCCGTTGGGTGCTTGTGCGCATCTCTGGAGACTTCGGGGAAAAAACAACCTTTTCGCAATGGGGCATGGGCGGGCGACAGATGCCACCAGAAACGCGATCAGACGCCCGCCCTTGCCCTGTGGTTTCCAGAAACTAGTACCTCTGAGGTACTAGTTTTTAGCCGCGCATCTTCGGCAGGAAGCCTCGGTTGAGCCACGGGAGTTCTACGCTTCCCAGATGTGGCGGTGAGACCGCGCCCAGAAAATCCGCCTATCTAGCGTGGCTAATGCACCATGTGACCGGGGCCTGTCTACCTTTTACTGGAGTCCTAACACAGCCCAGTTGGTTCTTGAAGCAAAGAGTCCTAGGGCATAATACAAATATCTTCTTGGCAGCATGGAGGAATGGGGAGGAAAGGGTAAAAGCAAGGGTAAGACTTCTTCTCACGAACCATATTTATAGAAGATTGCAAGCTATAACCTCCTGACTTCCTTAACCAATCACTGGGCCATATCCATGGTACCTTCCAGGATGAGAGCGAGTTCCCCCCTCCAACACCAGATTAGGGTTGCCAGTTCGGATGGACCCAGCAGTGGGGAAGGGACTTTCCAGGAGTGGGGGAGAGCATGCAACGTAACGATGTCAAGCACAAGTGACATAACGTTGGCGATGCTGTGTGGCGATGCTCTGGTATTTTGGGCAAAACTCTATGGTAACCATAGAGTTTTGCCCAAAATACCAGTGTTGCCATGCTGCGTCACTGACATGATGATGTCACTTCTGTGTGACATCATTACTTTGCCTTTGGGGGCAGGGTTTCCCTCCACCGGCCAGCTAGCAGGTGGCACGGAAGAGGCCCGAAAATCGGGGCACCCCTCACCCCCAACTGGGTAATGGCATCCCTACACCAGATTCACAGCTGAACAATGTGATCTTAATTGACAGGCCTAGATGGACAACCTTGATGCATATCTGCTAGTGTGTGTGTGGGGTGTGTGTGTGACTAGCACATGCACTAAATCAGAGAACAGTAAAGTTTGGCTTGAACAGACTAGAAAATTTCTTTAAGATGGTCTCTGTCTTGACAGCCACTTTAGGCCCTTTTCTGGGAGCAAATGACCTAAAGTGACAAAAATCAGTGTGCTAAGGAGGAGAGTTCCCGAGGCAACAGGAAGGAGGGAAGGGGGATATGCAAAGGGATGCAGATGTACATATTTTGCATAAATATATCCAGATTGCACAGTCCAGCATGCCTGAGTATTAACACACAGGCCCATTAGCAGCCTCTGACAGACCCTTTCTCTGTGAGTTGGGCCAAAGAAGATGTTACATTTTCTAACGAGTCTGGTTTGGGGGGGGGGGGTTATTTGCACCATTCTGCAGTTGCACCTGCAGTATCCCATGCACGTGGAGCTCCAAAATGGTGGTTAATATTTCCTCCCCCCCCCCAGCAGACTTGTTAGAAAGCTTCATGCGTACTATTCACATTAATGCCATCCCCACAGCCAAGCTTGCACAGCAGTGATGTTTGGTGGGAGAAGATTCTCTGTTTTCTAGTGACTACAACTACTTGTTCAAATGCTGGGAAACAAGTTTCCTGCACCAATAGGAATACTTTTTTTTTTTTTTAAAAAAATTTTATTGAAAATTTTTGAAAACAAACAAACAATAATCAATAAAACAACAAACATAGAGAGATTATTGCTATGTTCACAAAATGGGATATACAATATCAAATAAGAGGAAAAAAATAGGTGTTAAGTAACGAGTTCAAGTTATGCTAGTAACATCAAAAGATTAACGATAAACTGTATTAAAAAATACCTTCAAAGACAGATTTAATTATACAATAGCAGCTTAAATTTTGCTTTTCTTATCGTTTCCCAGTCGAATTTATCGATGTTGATTTTTTCTATAACGGGAAACCAAATATTCAATGGGTTCATTATGTGACTTTCTCCAATAGGAATGCTTGTTTGTGCTGACCCAGACTCCTCCTGGGGAAACCATGGATTTAAGAAAAGTCTTCTGTCTCTGAGTTAGTCATTTCTCTGATCTGAATTTGGATTGCAGCTTCTAATAAGAGTTGCATTTCCAGTCCCCCATTTGCATTATAAATCTGTTTTTCTTGTTACCTCCCAGGGAAATTCTTCACTCCGATTTGCTGCTTCCTTCTGTTCAATGTCATGGACTGGCTCGGCCGTAGTGCCACCACGTATTTCCTCTGGGTAAGTGATGGAGCAAGGGTGGGTGAGTGGGGCTGGCGTCCCCCTACTTGGGTTCTGCTCCATCCTGGTGTAGGCAGCATCAGCCAGAAGCCTGCAAGAATTCCAGAGAGGTAGCTGGGTTAGTCGGTTGTGGCAGGAACCAGAAGGAGTTTTGGGGCACCTTTCAAAGGCTTATTGTGTGAGACGCTTACGTGGACTAGAACTTATTCCGTCATGCACACAGGTACAGAAGAAAAATAGTGACACATAAATAAAAGGTTCAAAAGGTCACAAAGGGTCAGGAATGTTGGCACACTTGATCACAGAGGCAGCATTATAGGAACACTGTCCTCTCTGCTGGGAAGTAGGAGAAGGGGCAAAAAATAGAAAAACTGAATTTACACAAAAGCAAATAGAAGGGGAAGTCGTGGAAGTATTGACAGACTTCACATTCCTGGGATCCCAGATCACCGCAGACTGTGACAGCAGCCATGAAATTAAAAGACGCCTGCTCCTTCGGAGGAAAGCGATGGTGAACCTAAACAGCATGATAAAAAGTAGAGACATCACCCTGCCAGCAAAAGTCCGCATGGTCAAAGCAATGGTATTCCCAGTAGTCATGTATGGCTGCGAGAGTTGGACTATAAGGAAGGCCGAGCGCCGAAGAATAGATTCTTTTGAACTATCGTGCTGGAGAAGACTCTTGAGGGTCCCTTGGACTGCAGGAAGATCAAATCAGTCAATCCTAAAAGAAATCAACCCTGACTGTTCCCTGGAAGGCCAGATAATGAAACTGAAGCTCAAATACTTTGGCCACCAAATGAGAAGGGAGCACTCACTGGAGAAGACCCTGATGCTGGGAAAGATTGAAGGTCAAAGAAGACGGGAACGGCAAAGGATGAGATGGTTAGACTGTGTCATAGATGCAACAAACATGAAATTGAGCAAACTTCAGAGGACGGCAGAAGACAGGAGGGCCTGCCGTGATCTGGCCCATGGGGTCGCGAAGAGTCGGACTCGACTGTGCCACTGAACTACAACAACAAAGGGTTTGTTATTTTATGTCAGATAGATTAACTCAAGTTTATTACTCAAGCCATGGTCTATCAGGAGGCAATAGATGATATCTGAAAGCAGCCATACATGTTCTTTGGCAAGGGTAAGTGATGCCCTTGAAGGGGTCAAGTGCAATGCTCCCTCCAAGCTGTGGAGTCCTATGAGCAAAAAAATCTACTTTGTGAGCTACTGGCATTAAAGCTGTGAGCGAGCAATTTGGCTACTGCATGTATTAGTTTGCTCTGGAGCCATCCTTCCTGAGCTAAGACAAAAATGTGTGAGCCGGAGGCTAAAAACTGTGAGCTAGCTCACACTAGCTCAGCTTAGAGGGAACACTGGTCAAATGATGGCATTGCTAGGGGACAGTGTCTGCACTGGAGCGATTAGAAGAAGAGGAGGAGGAGATTGGATTTATACCCCACCCTTCACTCAGAGTCTCAGAGCAGTTTACAATCTCCTTTCCCTTCCCCTCCCCACAACAGACACCCTGTGAGGTAGGTGGGGCTGAGAGAGCTCTGAGAGAACTGCTCTTTCCAGAACAGCTCTGAGAGAACTGTGACTGACCCAAGGTTACACCAGCAGCTGCATGCGGAGGAGTGGGGAATCAAACCCAGTTCTCCCAGATTAGAGTCTGCGTTCTTAACCACTACACCAAACTGACTATCTGTGCTACTCTGTGGCAGGTGGTATTTTGTTGCTTGTACCTTTTAACCAAGAGCCAGTTCGATGTAGTGGTCAGGAGTGTGGACTCTAATCTGACAGAGAACAGGGTTTGATTCCCCACTTTTCCGCATGCAGCCGCTAGTGTGATGCTGGGTCAGTTACAAGTTCTCTCAGAGCTGTTCTCTCAAGAGCAGTTCTCTTAGAGCTCTCTCAGCCCCACCTACCTTACAGGATGCCTGTTGTGGGGAGAGAAACGGAAAGGAGATTGTAAACTGCTCTGAAATTGCTTTGGGTAGTGAAGGGCGGGATATAAATCCAATCTCCTCTTTTTAAGAAGAGGTGAATTGTGGCGGCAGGTGCCTATGAGACTGGACTAATTGACACAGGATGTTTTTGCCCTCACCAGCCTGAGAAGAACCTGCCTGTGCTTCCCGTGGTGGTAGGCCTCCGTCTGCTGCTCATCCCACTGCTCCTGTTGTGCAACATCCCTCAACGCTCCTACCTGCCTGTGCTTTTCCACCACGATACCTGGTTCATCCTCTTCATGGTGGTTTTCTCGCTTTCCAATGGCTATTTCGTCTCCCTCACCATGTGCCTGGCACCAAAGTGAGTGAAGAACTGAATAGTCTTCTTCCTGGGGTATGAAGGAACAAAATGTGAATTGCAGATTAGTGCCTGTAATGCTTAATTTTTCCCTTAAAGAGAAAAGGTCCCAGCGTGTGTATGTATGCTGGGACAGGCTGTAGTTACTCAGCCGGGAAAGCAGTCTGCTGTATACTCAAGAGGTAATGATTTTTCTACCTGTCTTGAAATTATAGTCCACTCACTCCTGAAGGCCCCCAAGATTAGTGAAGATGTATTGTTATAACAACAACCTGCAGAAGAGCTTAAGTCTATCACAGTTCACCCAGAGGCTTCACGACAGGGTGGGTGTTAGAAGCTAACTAAATAGCATTAACTGACTGGCAGCTGATATCTTGCAGTAGCTTCATGCACAGAGCAGCTGAGCTCTGGCCTAATGTTTATTTTTATTTATTTATTTTATTTAGGTATTTTTACCCCGCCCTCCCCGCAAGCGGGCTCAGGGCAGCTTACAGAGGGCTACAGCCCATACATAAAATCCATAAAACAATAAAAACATAACAGCAATTATATATAACAATAGAGTTAGTTGATCAGCTCTAACAATGTTCTTCCCCCACCCCAGAAATTGTAATAAGTGCTTTTTTGAGCATTCTGTCCTCTGTGATAGATAAGGTAGAGACTGAGGGTGACTGATTTGCTCAAGACCAGTTCAGTGTGGCTATGTGACTTTTATGCGAGGACTTGGAATTGGGTCTATACTTGACAAATGCATCAAATCATGGATGTTGGTTCAGAGATTAGTTTTGCTCCTCATTTCCTGTTTCAGGCCGGCTATTCAGTTTCTATTAAGTTTAAAAAAGAACTTGGGCCAGCTGTGCATTGGGAAAGTTTTATTTATTAATGCATAGTTATTCCAGTGTGGTTTAGTGGTCACCATGCCAGACAAGGATCTGGGGAGACTCAGGTTCGAATCCTCACTTGCCATGAAGCTTATTGGGGGCTGACTTTGGGCCAGTTGCTACCTCAGTCTAAAGTACTTTGCAGGGTTGATGTGAGGATAAAATGGAGGAGGGGATAACCCTGTACACCACCCCTTGGAGGAGGGGCAGGATAAGAACGGACTAAGTAAAGTACTTAAGAGTGTATATGCTCAAAATGGCCTTCAGTCCAGCACTGTCTATTTGATTGGCAGTGCCCATCTCAAGCTCAAGTGCAGGGCATTCTTTCCGAGCCCCGCCACGTGAGAGCCTTTCTAACTTGACATGCGAGTGGCTGAACCTCAGGCCTTCTGCATGCAAAGCATGTGCTCTACCACTCAGCCATGGCCCCTCTCTCCAGTCCCACCCCGGAAGGGGGAGATGTTCGTAAATGTAGTATCACCATCAAAACGGTCAACATTCCTGCCCTGATTTGGATAGCCCAGGTAAGCCCGATCTCGTCAGATCTCGGAAGCTAAGCAGGGCCGACCCTGGCAAGTACTTGGAAGGGAGACCTCCAAGGAATACCAGGGCCCAGACACAGAGGCAGGCAATAGGACGCCACCTCTCTGTAATGTCCAAGCCCCACCAGGGGTTGCCAGAAGTCAACCGTGACTTCCAGGCACACGCCCACGCCCACACAAATACAAAAAAAAGAAAAGAAAGGTCAGCATTCCTGTTAGGAAAACTAGTTTATAACGCACATGAAGCTGCCTTTTACTGGGTCAGACCAGCAGTTTATTAAGGTCAGTATTCTCTACTCTGATGAGCAACTGTTCTGCAGGATCTTGGATGGAAATCCTACACATCATGTGCCAGGGATTGAACCTGGACCTTCTACATGCAAAGCAGATGCTGTACCCCTGAGCCACACCCACAAGTACTCATCAATGGAGTCCAAAATCCTGACCCCACCACTCTGTGGCCCAAGGCAGCTCCTACCCCTAGGCTCTGTGTCATGATTACTATAGGCATACCTTACAGGGTACTGGTAAAGGTTACAGAATGAGGCACATAATACACTTCCAAGACTGAAGAAAAGCACCGTGTTACTATATTCAGTGGTGTTCATGACATATCTTTGGATTGAGAGTTTGAATTAGGCATTTCCCTATTTATTTTGGCCACCTATATCCTGCTCTCTCCACAAGAGGCCCCAAAGGCAGCTAACAACATCTTTAGAAACAATATAAAATCAATATTAATGAGAACACCAGACTGACTGGTTCATAAAAATATACTACACAGGATTAACAATTACCTCAGAAGATGTGGCATTAAAGTGAAGCTAAGAATAACCAAAATGAACAGTGTCTGTAGAAGAAGAAGAAAAGAGATTGGATTTATACCCCGCCCTTCACTACCCAAAGGAGTCTCAGAGCGGCTTACAAACTCCTTTCCCTTCCTCTCCCCCCAACAGACACCCTGTGAAGTAGGTGAGGCTGAGAGAGCTCTGACAGAAACTGCTCTTTTTCAAGAACAGCTGTGCCAGAACTATGGCTTGCCCAAGGTCATCCAGCAGGGGCAAGTGGAGGAGTGGGGAATCAAACCCAGTTCTCCCAGATTAGAGTCCACGCACTTAACCACTACACCAAACTGGCTCTTTTTACTGTAATATCAGTATTCAAAATACAATAACGTTTTTTATACAGTTTTTTCTTGTATTGCTTGTGTATTACTGTGTAATCGCTTTGTGGTCATTAAAGTGAAGCTTACATTAAATATACATATAACACAGATCTTGGAAGCTAAGCAGAATTGGCCCTAGTTAGTACTTGGATGGGAGGCCACCAAGGAAGCCCGGGGTTGCTGTGCAGAGGCCCCGGTCACACGAGAGGTTTTGGGCCAGGAGAGGGACGGATCGGGGGCGCAGCAAACAGGCGCGATCCCACCGCAACATCTGGGAAGCGTTGCGCACCCGTCCCCAATCCGGCCCTTCCACCCAAAACACGCAGCAAAACTAAACCACCTACCGAGGTGGTTCTTCAGGCAAGGCCGCATCAAGGCCGGCCATGGGATCGCCGGCGCGTCCCCAGCTCCTGGCCGAACTGCGCATGCTCAGACATGTGCAGTTCGGCAGCCTCCCGTCGCTGTCTCCCCGGCATCTGATCGTGCCAGGGAGCAATTGCGCCGCGGTTCACAGAATCTGTATGATCCCGCCGCCGCGTGCCTATTTTGGTGTGGCTTTTAAAAGCCGCACTTTTGCCCGACTTTTTCCCCCCATGTGGCAAGGACCAGAGGCAGGCAATGGCAAACCCCTTCTCTTAATCTCTTGCCTTGAAAACACTACGGGGTCTCGCCATCAGTCAGCTGCTGCTTGATGACAAGAATCAAAATGTTATTTTTATTGACTCTCGTTTGGGTTCCACCCCAGCACTGATTGCCTCTCCAGGGTAGAACGACAGAGGTGGGCCCTTTCCCATGAGACTAACGCCTTCTCTTTCTTTCCTCAGACAGGTACAGCCCCATGAGAGTGAGTTGGCGGGTGCTATCATGACCTTCTTCTTGGCCTTGGGGCTCTCCTGTGGGGCTGGGCTCTCCTTCGTCCTGAAATTCTTGCTTTGAAGGGTGCCATCCATTCTGTCACAACTTGGACATTTCTTCATTTTGAAGTCTCGAGGAGAGGCTGGTAGCTCCATTTACATTCTCCAGTCTTTGCTCCAGGTCCCCTCTTTATGGCAGCTAATGTTTTCCTAGAGGGGCAACCTACTGTCTTCCAAACAAAGGGAAAATGTGTATATGTGTGCGGTGTGTGTGTGTTTCACTCAGTCACCTTCTTGTTAACCCAGGAGACTGAATGTATTTTCAGAAAGAGCCATGGATTTTTCAGACATGTGAACGGGGAGTAATTTGCTCAGGGAAGGCGGCAGTGGCTGAGGCAACTGCCTTTTGTGTGCGACTGGGAGACTTTGTATAAAATATCCCCGTCTGGGACTTTTCTCTTTGCGTTGCTTTCCAGCTGAAGGAAGTATTATTGTCTAACGCACAAACTGCTTTGTGGAATGTACTGCTGAAGGATGACTCTGGGCAAGGGAGGGGTGACAGTGTATACAGTCAGTGTTAAAACGAGGGACGGAGACGGCCCTCCTTCCCATCTGTGGCAACCCAAAATCTTTATTTAAAAAAAACCCATTTTTGTGTGTGACTGAGTCTTTGTAGTTATACATTCTTTGATTGTAACCATAGGGCTAGAAACTTGCCCACCTTGAATGAAAAGCGAGTTGTCTTTAACACAAGGCAAATTCTGTAGCAGCTTTTCCCAGTTCCAGACAAACGAATGAACAATGAAGCGCCTTTGGGCTCCTAGAATAATTTTCCTCACTGAAGCTTGAACTGGTGGAAGTCTAGAAGCGAAACCATTTCTACATCACCCATGGATGGTTTTGTACATTGTGCCAAGAAGAATAAAGTATTCTGGGTTTAGATGGAAAGAAGGAGATTGAAATCTTGATTCAAAAAAGAGGCCAGGAATTGGCAAGGGAAAGTGTCTTCCTTTGCTGTGTAAATATAACACAAGCTTTGGTGTCCCATAAAACTCCCAAGTGAAGGTTCATACCACAGACACATTCTGTGCCTGCTTTCATTTATGCACAGGGAATAGCTGTGTTAGTCTTCTGTAGCAAAATAAAACAAGAGTCCAGTGGCACCATAAAGACCAACAACATTTATTCTAGCATGAGCTTTTGTGAGTTGGAGCATCTGAAGAAGTGAGCTCTGATTCATGAAAACTCAACGCCGGAATTTTTTTTAGTTTTTTAAGGTGCCCACTGGACTTCTTTTGATTTAGGCAAGGACTCAGCAAGTAGTGGCCTGTGGGTCAAATCTCCCCCCCTCCCAGTTCCTACGTTTCATTTATTTCCATATTATAACAGTGTCTTGCCCCCCTTCCCGGCTTATCTGGAAAGAAGCGCGAAAGCTACATGGAGCTACACAAAGATGTGAATCAGCTTTAAATCAGTTAGGCAAGCGCTGTAGAAACAGGGTGGCTTTAGAGAGCTCCCGTATATAGAATCGGAATGACCCACCTCCTGTCTCTGCCTTTTTTGACTTGGCCCGGCAGGAGCTCGCCATTCATGACCCCAGCTGCCTAAAGTACTTTTAACTGGAGGCTGATCTTGAGACTTTCTGTGTACAAAGCAGGTGTTCTGCAGATGAGCTCACAGAGCCTTCCAAGTCTGCAGCCAGATCCATGGTAGGACACATTTATTTATTTATTTCATTTATCCCCCGCCCTCCCTGCACGCGGGCTCAGGGCGGCTTACATAAGCACAACAGTGCAATAAAATACAACAGGGCTACATATGAAACTGCCTTCTACTGAATCAGACCCTTGGTCCGTCAAAGTCAGTACTGTCTACTCAGACCGGCAGCAGCTTTCCGGCATCTCAGGTGGGGATCTCTCACATTACGTACTGTCTGATCCTGGGATTGAACCTGGGACTTTGTGCATGCCAAGCAGATGCTCTGTCACTGAGCCACAACCCCTCCCTGGTTTCATAGGTCACTGACGGCAGTGTTGGATACCGGTAGCTGGCAATGCTTACTCTGATTAAATGTCCTCTAATACTGTATTCACCACTTTGAATGAGTTGGCCCCTGAGCGGCTGGCTGCTGAAGTGTATAGTCCCCCGTAACATAAAAGCGATCCCTGTTTTAGACAAAAGACATTTTTGGCTGTTTAAGATGCAATCCTGAGCATCCTTATGTGAGAGTTTGCAGGTTTGCAGCTGAACCTCAAGGGCCTAACTGCACATTATGTATGGTTTCCTGCTTTAGATTCTCAGTCATGACTCATGTTGGAGACCAGTTTGGATCATGACTGCAGCACATGAGCAGAAGGGCCTCTCCCCGTACCATTCTCTTGACCTGGATTGCCCCTGGGAAGCTGCAGTTTTCCCACTGGAGGAACTTGCTTGAACCAGTGGGTTCCACGTGTGCTGCTGGTGGGAATTTTCCAGTGCATGTCTACTTGGCAGGACCTGGGGCAGTTCCATAAGCAGTGTAATATATAATAGGGCCCTTCGTTTGACAGGAAGCTGTATCCTGTCCTTGGGCTCCAGTGAATGTTTCTGTGTGATACCTGTCTGTCTCTTTCACCAAACAGTCATTCAAGAGTTCTGCTTCTGAGTGAAAGATGCTTAGATCTGCCTTATGATTTAGATAACTTCCTGGCCTCCTGCTGGGGAGCCTGCACAACTACTCATGCCTTGATTTATGCAAAACACAGACCTCTTTGCACAAACGAAAAAAGAGGAAACGTCTGAAGTGTTTACTTGTTGATAGATTCAGGTGGGTAGCTGTGTTGATCTGAAGCAGCAGAACAAAGTTTGAGTCCAGTGACACCTTTAAGACCAACAAAGTTTTATTTAAGGTATAAGCTTTTGTGTGCAAGCACAATCTGAGGAAGCGTGCTTTCACACAAAAGCTTATACCTTGAAACTTCGTTGGTCTTAAGGGTGCCACTGGACTCAAACTTTGTTCTGTGTTTACTTGTTGCGATCCTTCCCCTGGACCCCAAAATAAAAGAAGACCCCTGCTACAATTTTGTTTTCACAGTCTAAATCTGTGAAACATTTCTGAATTGCCCGCATTTCATTCATAAACAGACTTGGCTTTAGATAACATTGGTTTTAATACTAGTCTTATTAATGATCAAAGAGCAATTGTGAAAATATTATCTTTAATGTATTTTACTGTTTGCAGTGTCTATACTTTGTGGAACGACCTCTTTTCAAGCTTTTTGTATCAGAGCCTGGCATGGGGTGGGGTGGGGTGGGGAGATCCAAGAAGAGTCCTAAGCTGTTGTAAATAGGACCTCTATCCTAAGGTTGTATTCATCTTTTTAAAAAAATAAATAAAAAATATTGCCTGTAAAATGTGGAACAACTCTGAGAAGTTTAGTTAGCTTATTTTTGCCATTCAATAAAGCTTTTTTTTTTTTAAAGAAAAACAAAAAAAGATTTAGTCTCTTTCTTCCCACTGCATTAGCAACTTAAGCAGGATTTGCTCCAGGAGAAATCAGTGTTTAAAATGTGTATTGCCATATTTCTACCCGTAAATCTTCAAAATGGTTGGCAGCAAAGCAGCAGGTAGAAATGAAAATAATACACAGCAGTCAGAAGATCTCAAAAAATATAAAAACCATCTGAGTGGCAGCCTGACCTAATAGAAAGGAAAAGGTTGTTTACAAAAGCAAACGACCATAATGACAAAGGCTGAGAGGTAGGGGAGGAGACACGATGGTATTCGCCCAGCACTTAACAAGCTGGCAGACAGGCAAACATTCTTCTGTGCAACCACAGAAAGAGCCATTCTCTGGAGGCACCTGCCTTATTTAAGAAGGAAAACCACCTATGAAGATCTCAAGGGCAGGGAAGGTTTATTGGAAGAAGATTCCCAGAGCATGTCATTCAAAACCAGCACATACATTGAATTGTGGCTTGGTGATGTTTCCTTTCAAAGCCGCTTCCAGTCTTTCATGTTCACTGCAACAGGTCCTTAATAAGGCAGTGGCTGTAGTCTGGACTGGTTGAAATTTCCAAACATTTTACAATATCTGCTATGGTAGAGAGGAGCCTGATGTCAGAGAGCCATGGGCAACTGTGATACAACTAGAGATGTAAAGTTTCTATGAATGTGGAAGGCATGGGGGGGAGTGTTCTCCACCTTTTGGGGAGGGGAATGGAAATTTGGGGAAAGCCTGAAATATATGATAATATCAAACCTAAACTAATTTTACTGCTTTAACAACAGGAAATGCATCATTTATAACTTAGCATGTAAAATCGTAGTCTTTGAAATATTTATGGCATTTAATAGTTATAAATACCTTCATGTTCTACGACCCAAATTGCAAATATACCCAGTGCTTAGCCCATATACCTTAATTTTTGCTATGTGAAAAGTAGAAAAAATAGGAATTAAACTGGAAACACAAGCTGTGTAAAAATATTATTTGATCAGGAAAATATGGTAACACAAATGGTCAATAATAATAATAATAATACTTTCCATTTATTAATCGCTTTCCCCAGTGGGCTCAAAGCGATGTACAGTTACTCCATATATAGACAAGGGACTAACAATGTTCGTAGGGGATAGGGAAGACAACATATATTGACTTTAATTGCATGCGCCGTCACTGCCTGGTGTAGACGTCTTCTGGCTTGCTCCGTCATTTTCCCGCACGGCTGCTTGCTGGCCAGGCCTCAGGACCCGTATGTCAATCGCCACACTGCCACCGCCTGGCTGGAACATCCATTGCAGGCGTTCTTTTTCGTAGCCGGGAAGCTGTTTTGCCTCTTACAAGCCTTGACCAGGCGTCCGACCGTCAGCTAACGCCCTCCCAGAAGGGAGGTTGGCGTGCCCACCCTCGCTAAGGAGTGGTTCCCATTTTATCTACTCACTAAAGCTTTCGAATCGCTGGGTGGACGATGAGCTGGGGACAACAGGCTGGCTGCTCACACCAGCGCGGGGCTTGAACTAACACAGTTCAGATGTTAAGACAGTGGGATATACTCACTGTGCCACCACTGCACAGCTAGATGTCGTTCCAGCTAGATGCTGTCTTCTTTCTTCTGTAGCTACTGGTTAGAGCAGAGGTGTAGAACTCATTTGTTATGAGGGCCAGATCTTACATAAATGAGACCTTGTTGGGCTAGGCCATGTGTGTCATAAAATGTAATGCCAGGTAAAGGTAA